CTCTACATAAGTGTACATAAGTGAATAATAAGTAATAGACAAAAAATAATATTTTTAGTTTCTAATTCTCAAAGACTCTCTTTATTCAGTTTTATAATTCAGCTAATAAACGTTGTGTTGAAATTTTATTATACTCTATGCACACACAAATATGTACGCATAAATATAAATTTAATATCTACATGTTTATGTATAAAAGATCTACATACAAGTCTACAAGTGAATATTACAAACATTTTTATGTTTTGAGAGATAATTTTAAAGGTTTCCCAGGATTTCATATTAATTTGTTTTTGGGTTTTTTGTTTTTTAGATCTTTCTTTTTCATATTATTGTTTTTATGTTTTCAATTTTCAAAAAAAAAAAAAATGAAAAAAAAAAACTGAATGGATTCATATACACTGGAACTCATTGGAATTAATATGTAGTGACAAAAACAAAAATAAAAACATGAAAAATAATAGAAAAAGGACATGAATGAGAATTTTTTTTTTTTTTGGTTTTGTTTTTGTTAATATCAACGTAGAATTTTCTCTCATGCTATACAAAATGCTTGGAAAAAAAAGCAAGTGATAAGAATGAAAAAAAAATAAAGGCACTGAGTCAATTTAATGAAATCAAGAGGAATAAAACAAAAAAAAAGAATTTTTGTGCTCTATAGAAATGATATTAGTAGGGAACTATGAACGAAATGACTTTTGTATGTAGAAAACAAGTAAAAAAAGTAGAAAAACAAGCAAAATTAAAAATCAAAAAGAAAAATGTTTCTGTCTATTACTAAATGAACAAAAAAAACATGACATAAGTTAAGAGAAGATGTCGATGTCACGAATAAAATAAAATTTAAAAAATCAAAAAAAAAAAAAATTTTACAAAAATTCTTGACGTCCTTAAGCCACGGAATTTTCATTTTTATTTTCTGCCATCTCTATTTTGCACATAAAATGTGTGTGTACGTTTTTCAGAATTAAAAATAAATTTATTAATTTTTAATTTAAAATTTTATAATATTTATTAATTTAATATTAACTTATTTTTCAATTAAATTCGTGATCATATAAATATTTTAATGTATGTGTTATAAATTTGTACTTTATTCACTAGTAAATTGCCTCTTTAAGTTTCAATTTAATTCCAGCAAAATATTGATATTACGAACTGTTGTATACGTTTATATACAAATATATGAAATTTTATTTTTATATTTAATTTTCATTAATAAAAAATTTACCATTTATATTATATTTTACCAGCCAGGTATGTAAAATCTATTTATTTTATATTTCGCTGAAATCCTATAACTAAATTCTATATACCTGTATACGTAATATATAAGTACTATGTAATAAAATTTGAGTAAATTATCAAAATAAATTTCTATACATACATATTATATGTATATAGTATATTTTACTCATTTTGGCAACGGAGCATTTTATGGTATGGAATAAAATACTAACCTCGTCAACTTAATTCAATAATTGAAAACCTATATACCTAAATTTTGTAAATATAAAAGAAAATTTTCATTGTAATTTAAATGGCTATACATGTGTATATTATGCCTATGTAATATAAATATATACATGTAATTATAATGAGAATAAAAAAATAAAGTATATTTTCTCTTCTCTCTCATTACTTTCTGTATATGATAAATATTTTATATGATTTACTTTACTTTTTTATGTTATTATTGTTATTTTTATACAAAATATTTTCGAAATTCAGCTGTTTAAATTTTTCAATCTATTTACAAAAAAAGTAAATATAAAAAGTGTTATAAAAATAATTTCTGTTCAGCAAACAAAAACAATAAACTTTCACTTATGAGAGAATATTTTTATCAAATGCTATATACACATTATAATATACCAATAAAATATCTATTAAATATACTTTTATATATGTCGATATGTTTGTATAGGCACATACATAAATAATTTTGTAATTTTCTTTTTATAATTATCATACGGTGTTATAAAATGAAAAATTTTCATCTCATTAAATTTTCATTTTATCATCTCCATTAAAAATGAGAGAGAAAGAAAAATGAGAAGGGAGAAAGAGAGAGAGAGAACAAACGATAGTAATTTATGTACAAAGAATTTATAAAGAAAATTTTAAAATGAGAATCAGACAGGAATATGATTGAATATTGTGATTGGATTGTGAGAGAACGAGAGTATAAAATTTAAGAGAATACTGAATTTTTGTTGCTGAATTGGAATTTATGTAAACGGTTGGGTAATATTGTAATAAATGTGCGTGTATTGGTGTTTGTAAAACTTGGAAAATGGAATTACCAGGGTTTTTTTTAAATTAGCTTTCAAATTTAAAAAAAAAAAGTATAAGAAAAGAAAGAAATAAAAATAGAAAAATCAAAAAAGATTTTTATTGATAAACAGTACACTCAATTCTAGTTGAATGAATTTAAGTCAAAAGCTCAAATAAACCAAATATTTTGTTTTTGTTTTTGCTTTCTTTTTTGACTAGAAAAAGTTTGTAAGCAAATACAATTTAATATATTTTTGTTACAATGGAAGGCAATTTTAAAGTGTCTATCTTATTTGAGAGAATCTTTTGTTTTTTTCATTTTTATGTTTTTATGCTTAATATTGAGATGAGATGATTTTTTTTTTTGTTTTTCGTTCTGAAGAGTGGGGGAAAAATTCTAAATGTGTACTTTTCATGTATATAAGATTTAAACACACAAACTTGTACAAATCTCTAATCTTTCTTTATGTAGTTAAAAGAAAAATAAAAAAAATAAAATAATAAAACAAAAAAAAAAAATTTACTATACTTTTCTGTATCAAAATTTTCTCATATACTTGGACCATTTGAAGTTAACAAAGGACCAAAAATAAAATGTATTTATATACGCACACACAATATACATACATAAATATATATATAATATTTTCTCATTTTTGATTTCAATATATTTATATATACACACATATATTATGTATATGTAGAAAAAGAACAGTGGAATTTTTCTCATAAAAATTATTTTCCCACAGCATCCTTTCTAAAGGTACTAGGAAAAAAAATTTTTTTTTATATGTCAGTTAAGCTCTGACATCCGGTAATGTTAGAGCTATCGCGATTTTATTATTAAAACGTGAAAAATAAAATTCTTTTTAATTTTATTTTAATTTTCTTCTCTTGACTAAAAAAAAATAAAATTATTTAGTGAGATAAAAAATATTTAAAGAACAATAAAATTGTGGACATTATTTTTTAAAAACTATAAATTATTTAAAAATTTTTTATTGGGATATCCCAAGGAATCCACAAAAAAGAAAAATATAATTGAATTAAATTGAATTGAACATTTTCATTGCGTGTAATCACAAAAAAAAGAAAAAAGAAACAGAAAAATAGAAAAACAAAGAGAAAAACTTATTCCCAATTTATTTTGCTTTAATTGTACCTTTAAAGGATATGAGGTAGAAGAGAATAAAATTCAAAGTAAAAAACACAAGAAAGAAAATAAAAGAAATAAAAAGGACCCCAAAAATAGTTTTTAAGTAATGTATATATATATATATATATAAATACATGTGTACATCCTGATCCTTTTGAAATTTGTTCTAATTAAATATTACTATGAATATATATATTCAATATGTGTGTGTTGTCTTAAATTAAAAACAATAATAATAAATTTAAAATTATTTTAAAATCTAAGAAAAAAAACAAAAAAAATAAATATTATAAAAATAGAAGTAACAAAATTTCCTGTCTAAATTCATAGATAACAAGGAAAATGAAAAAAAATATTTTGAAAGCATAAAAAAATTAAAATAAAATAACAAAAGTCCAATACCTATACAAAAAAAAAAAAATCAAAAAATCTAAAATTGATTTTTTAAGAGCAACAAGATGATAAACTTTTCTTATATGTTTGTATGTACGGGTAAACAAAAAATTAACAAAAATTAGACACTGCAAAACAACAAAACAACATTAAAAAACAAGTGTAAAACAAAAGCAAAACCGTGCAAATAAAAAATAAAAACAACAAAAAAAACCAAACAAAAGAACAGAAAAAACTCATTATCGTTGCAAGTAAAGTCCTTGTTATCTCCTCATTGTGGGTGAGCAGACAAAAACGTAAATTAATAAAACAAAAAAAGAAACACAAAAAAGCACAAAAACAAGAAAAAAAAAAGAGAAGTAAAGTGTCATAAATATATAATAAAGAGTCATTCATTTCAAAGTGATTCTTAAGGACGCACTTTATAAGGATACTAATAACGACATCAAAATACACACACATATTTTTTTTCGTTTTAGAGATATTTTTCTCTGTGTATACACAGCAGCTTTGTGTGCAAATATACAAATGTTTGTTTGTATGTACGTAACATAATAATTTTTTTTTTCTAATTTTATTTTTGTTTGTTTTTTTTTTTCTGTGTTTCTCATGTTGTCGTTTGTGTTTTTTTATCAGTCATTCGAAAAAATAATTTTTTATTTTTTTTTTTGTTAAAGGACATTCGCGCTTTACTACTTTATAATATATCGCACTTGGTATAATATTTAACGCGTATACTTTAATGTCGCGAAAAGTGATCTAATAAAATTTATTTTATACATTTTTTTCGTGGTTGTTTTTGTTGTTTTTTTGTTTCTGTATCATTTAGGCTTTATTTTCATTGCTCTGTTTGTTCGTTTTTCTTTAGCTTTTCAGTTCTGTTCTGTTGGCTTTTACTTTGATGTTATATTTTTTTATTTTGTACGTCAGTTATCGTTATAATGACTTAATATTATGTGTTACAATATAAAAATAAAAAAAAAGAAGAAAAAAAATAAAAAAAAAATATAAAATTTTTTCATTTTTCTTTTTTTATTAAGGACTTTTAATGCATATAATAATTGTTAAACTAATACTTTACTATTCTCTGCAGTACAAGTGTTCCTAAGGGAAAAATAGCAAACAAAAAATAAAGAAGAATATAATTTAATAAAAAGATTATAAAAGGCGGATTTGGAATTTTTTCCGGTGTAAATAAATATAAAAAAAAAATTCAATTATTTATTTTTTTTTTTTGCCATTTATTTTCAATTAGAACGCACACAAAGTAAAATTACCAAGTAAAATTTTAATTACAATTAAAAAAGATTTTTTTGAAATTAGTAAAATAAGAATAAGTGTGTGAAAGTTTGTGTATATTAAAAAATACTAAAATTATAATTACAATTTAATTAGTAATTAAATAACAATATATAAAAAGTTTTTGCTTGAACGAAATTTAATTTTTAAAATTAATTAACAATAAACTGCAAAAGGAGGAAGAGAAGAAAATGTAAGTTTTTTTTTTTTGGATTTTTTCTTATTAATTTATTTTAATAAAATTTTTAAATTGTATGACGAAAAATAATTACTGTTCTTTTTACTATTATTATTGTGAATTTGTTAATTAAAAAAAATAATTTTGAATTTATTTAAATTGAAAATAAATTATTAAATATTAAAAATATAAAGTCATCAACATTCTTTCCAAATTTAAATTGTTCTTCTCATAATTATTTTAATGCACAGCTATTTTTAATATTATTATAAAGTATAAATAAGTTTTAGGATGCACTATACTCACTTTATATCATTAAAAAAATTGAAATTTTAAAATTTATTCGAAATTTCGAAATTTTGTAATATGAAAATATGAAATTAATGAAAATGGTTTCTAATGGTACTCTAATGAAACGCGCTATAGAATGCTGTAAAATTTCAGATTAAAGAAATTGGAAATCCAAGGTTGTTATTATAAGACAATTAAATTATTTCGTATTCAAATTTAAATACTAATTACAATACGAATAAAATATAATATATAAATATTATTGAATCACTTCTTATATTCCAATGTGTTATGATTGTGTAAGTTAACGTTGCACTTTATTTCAGACGTTAACCTATCATATTTTATCAAAAAAATTAATTTATAAATTGCGAAATCGTCAACATAGTAATTTTCGGCTTGAACTACCTTAAAAATTGCTTCCTATAAAAATTATTTGAACGGTTAGGTTGCGCCTATAACAATTATGCTGATAATGCAAGTAGAGCGATCCGTAATTAAAATTAAAATTTTACTGACAAGTGAAAGGTAATAAAAATTCTTTTTGTTAAATTAAATTAAAATATCGTCTTTTATTAAAATGAAGTAATTAAGGTAAGAGACAAAACCCAGGTGCACGCCATAGAACATTAATTTGTACAATAAATACAAAAATTATTAATTAATTTGGTTTTAGTTTTGAAGTCTATTTTAATTTTTTTTTTGCTTTATATTAAAAAATTTTTTAAAACTAAATAGGCTCATTTAGCGTTTAGGGTTTAAATAATGCATTTAAATCTGGGAAATAAATATTCTGATAAGGAGAAGTAATGATATTCATGGGTACCTTAAATTTTTTACAATTATTTTACGTTTTTTACTGCTGTTGTTAATTTTCTATTTAGTCTAATTAATTATAGAAGTAATTTAGTTGAATGTTATTTATTTAAGCGGCAAATCTTATTTATTTTTGCAATCCCTGCCTTATTAGGAAGGTTTTATTGTTTTCAATCTTTTAAGCACTTCTTTTATACTGTTAATTGAGAAAACTTTGAATAAAATAAAAAATAAACAAAAGTTTTTATATTTTAAAATTTCGTAGCATATCCTTAGGATGAAATAATTTATAAAATGCATAAAATCGGAAAATTTTGTGTACATTTTATTTCGAAAAAATTCGAAAATTCTATTTCTATATTTTTCACATTTAATTGAATAAAAACTGTACCGCATTACAAAACTCTGCTAACTAAGTTTGTGTAATACTATTTTGTATAATACTTTGTTTTTCATAAATTAAAATTAAAGTAATTTACGATATAATGTTGAAAAAACAAAAGTTAATATTTTGTTGCAGTTATGCTGCATCTAGTACAAAATTTTTTTCATTTTGCTTTTTAAAGCAATAAAACTGAAAACTTTTGAAATTCATGAATAAAGTCATAAATCAAAGTTAATGTGAAGTAGATTTTTTTTTTAATAAAAAAATTTGAATGAGTTTTGCTTGAAGTTAAAATATATAGGAAGTTGTATACAGGTAACTACTATTAAATTGGAGTGATTTTAAACTTTTAGCGAAATTGAGTTGATAATAAAATTGAATTAAAATGTGATTGTTTTAACAATAGGTGTACATAATTATTAAAAATTTTTTGTCGAATTAATTGAAAATGCAACATAATATTGGTACTCTCTAATTCTATGAAAATGCAATTGTGATTTCAAACATGCTGTCGCATTCCTGTTAATACTGTCATGATTCGTTCTTCGCAATCAAGGTGTTATAAAGCAAGCGTTCTTAAAATAATGGTACACACTTGATTATATAATTATTTTATGAACTTAAAATTATGATGATTCCATTACGATTATGTTTTAGAGTCAATAATATGAAAATGCATTCATTATATTGTTAATATTCAATTGAATACTATGAAAACTTACAATGAAAAAAAAATTTTGATTTCACAGTCAAATTAATGGTAAATGAATTTGTTTCGACTAAATAAATGATTTCATAATAATAATTTTAAAATCAATTGAATATAAAAGGAATTTTTTTTTTCGCTAATTAAATTTTATATAGAAAATTTAAAAAAAATTTCCTCTTCTATATTGATTGATATTGAAAGTCAATTATGTTTGTATGTGCCTTAATAAAGTCAATAAATTCAACTCAATTACATTGATAATGGTTTCCTTTTGTTTTTGGTCTTTAATTTTAATGATTATTTTTTTGTATGTTAAAGTATTGGTTTTTGTTTTTGAATACTATGCAAATTTATTTATTTAAATTTAATTGCAATTAAATAATTTTCAAATAATGGAGGATTAAAAGAATCAAATTCAATGGAAAAATAAAATTGAATCTAAAATAATTTTCAACTTCAGTTTTGTATTTTGAAATAAAATTACATTATAATATGTATGTATGTAGTTATAGTAAAAGAGCCTTGAAAGATGAGAACACTTAATTGATTGATGTAGTCCCATGTAATAATATGAATTTGATTAATAAAACCGAAATTTTTTTAGAAAAGACTTAAAATCAATAATTTATAAATTAAAATTTGAAATATTGGATAAAGAGAATGGAGGATAATTAGTATAATATTCATAATCCTGCCTTACCGTTTATAACACTAAGAAATATTGGTCTGAGTCCTGAGATATTGGCACAAGTGTATGTTTTTGGAAAACCTCAAATTATGAGTCAATTTAAGTATGTCTGTTCGTCCATCCATCTGTGCCTCCGTTCTAACTCAAAAACTAATTGAGACAAGTCCACCAAATTTTCACAAATGATTTATAATAATAAATGCGGGAATCATATTTAATTTGGATGTGATCTAGTTAGTTGTTCTGGTAGCTGCCTTACAATTTCAAAAGCTTTTTGGCTGTATATCAGAAATTATGTTTAAAAAAATGTCGTTGAAATTCCTACCGTACAAATTTGAAAGTTACTTGATCATAACTTAGAAATAGTTGAAGCTACGGTATTGAAATTTTGTAAAAACAAAAATGGTAAAATGGCTATTATTTTCGGTTTGTGATAGCTGGCATACACCTTGAAAGGTTGTACAATAGAACTTAAAGTATTGAAATTTAGCACAAGCAAATTTGAAATCAATTGAAATTTCGTGACTTGTGCTTATATGTTATGGAAATTATTGGAATTATTGAAATTATTGTGCTAAAATTTTGCATAAATGAATAAAAAACCAGGACTGTCTTAATTGACACAACACACAGCACTTGAAATCATTCATTCGTACGGATGTCATAGAGCTGACACGGTCAACTCTATCTTTTCTTATTTTTTCATAACTTAAATATTAAAATTCCAATTACTTGGTACTCTAATTTGAAAAATTATTGATCAATGTTTGTTATCATATAAGGATCTAAAAATATTTTCCAAAATTATTGTTAATTAACTTAAAATGGGCCAATGATAACATTATTCCTGTTAAGTTTAAAACCAAAAGAACCTTGAATTATTGGAATTTTAATAATGTAATTATATTTGAAAATAAATGGAACAACCCATAAAAAGTACACATGTACAGAAGTACGTGACAGTTCGGAAAACATAATTTAAAATAAAAAAAACCAAAACAAAAAAAAAAAATTAATGTGAAAACAAGTAATTTTTTTTTCGTCTTCTTCTTTTTTATGATTTTTTTTTATAAGCGATTTGTTAATTTATATTACACATCTGTACACATACATGTGTACAACTCTTGTTTTAACCGAAAATTTTGTTATATAATAATGGTATAATTTTAAATTATAAATAAATAAATTCAGTTAAAACAAACGGATTGTAAAGAAGCAACTTTCCTTTAAAAAATTAAATTACCTTCATCAATATAACAAAATAATGGTATAAAATTATTGCATATATTTAGGATGAGAAGAAGAAGTAGAAAAAACTGCTTTGAATAAATGGATTTATAACAGTAGGGCTCGTCTGCTAAATGAGTTCGATGGCAAGACATTTACCGTCAGTTTTTGCTACTATAAATATCTGCAAAAGCTGGCAGTTTTTGGAAATTCAAGGCGTAGAAAATTAAAACTTTACCAATTTTAAGAGGCGATAACTTGGAAGGAGGTAGAGGTTAGAAAATATATAAAAACTGTCTTCTGCAGAAATAATTTTCTAGAATAATTGTATTGGTTTACAAAATTTGAGCTTTCTATCTTAAAGTGGGTGTGGACATTTTGTAAATGGATAAACTGACGGATGGTTGCATGGACGGGCACAGTGAAATTATAAGTACTTCTCTTTCTGATTTTTTTTTTACAAAAAGTGCTTAAAAAAAGTATAAGAATATTTTTACAGAAAAACAAAAAATGAACATAAAGTGTCAAACTTAAAGCAAATAATTTATCTTAAAAATTAACTTATGTTTCATAAATTTTAAATTGTTATATTATATTTGCAGTCATAAATCAATTTAATAGCATAAAGAAGAAAGTAGAAAGCAGGAAAATTAAATGAAAAATATTTGTTTTTTTTTTTCTTCTTTATATAACGTATGTATAACGTGTACATACATACCTTTGTTATTTTTTTTACAAGAACTTTTCCCTATACACAAATTCTGTTCTATTTCTTGTGTATATTTGTTTGTTTTATATATGTATATTTGTAGAATGACTCTGTACGGTATACTTATATATATATGACTGAAAGCTCAATGTCCGTTATTTTGTTCGCAGATGTTTTGGACATTTCTATA